AAATCTGTTTCCTTTCCTTTCCTTTCCTTTCCTTTCTTTTCCTTTCCTTTCCTTTCCTTTCCTTTCCTTTCCTTTCCTTTCCTTTCCTGTGCCTTTGAGTCAGTCTTGACTTCTGATAACTGCCTGGACAAGTCCCTGCAGTTTTCTTGGCAAGATTTCGGAAGTGGTTTGTCATTGCCTCCTTCCTAGGGCTGAAAGAGAGTAACAGGTCCAAGGTCAACAGAATTTTGTTCTGATCTAACAGCAGATCAGAAGGTATGATCTGATCTGACAGCTGAAGTGCCTGGCTTGCCCCATTTTGCCCAGCAGCTGATTGTGGCCCTGTACAACCACTTTTTCCTAGGCTGCTGGGCTTCTATGTTCTCTGATGGTCAGATGTTGCTGTTTCTACCAGAGGTTTTCCTTCTAGGTTTGATGGATAAACAGATTGAAAGAAATATGGGACTTTGTTCTTATATATGACAACAGCAGTGAGACTTTTATATGCACAGAGGTGGAAGGACTTACAAATACCTAGAATGGGAGATTGGCTGGTGAAGTTAATGGAATTGACAGATGGCAAAATTGACTACTTCAGTTACAGAAAATACTTTGCTTAGCTTTGTTTCTACTTGGAAATCACTTTCAGACTTTTTGCTTGAAACTGGAAGAAATGAAACTTTGATTTTGGGATGTGATGATTAGAATTGTATTGTGTGCTATTATTAATTTTAGAGTAAGAGGTCAATGTATTTTACTTTATTTATTTTATTACAGATTTTATATTTGTATCTGTACCAAAGAAAATCGGAAGTCACTCTTTTTCTATTTGTTTCTTTTTTCTTTCTTTTTCTTTTCTGCACTTTTAACTTTGGCTTTTTCTCTGATCCTTTCCTTTTCTAAATTTTCTTTTCTGTTTCCTTATATTTTATCTTTTCTTTTTAAACTTAATAAAGTTTTATTAAAAAAAGAAGTTGCTGTTTCTTTCATAATCTTGCTATTGATCCAACAATGGCCAATTAAGTCATTGAGCTACTCTCACCCATAGAAGCTCATGTTCTATTCAACCTGACTCAGCAGGCAACCTTTCAATTTCTGGCAGGCTGGGTGAAGCATGCTCCTCTCATTTTTCTACTCCCAGATCACAGTTCTACAAAGCCTTCTCTTCTCTTCTCTTCTCTTCTCTTCTCTTCTCTTCTCTTCTCTTCTCTTCTCT